ACTCGGCCGGCGCGTTCGTGAACGGGTCGTGGCGCTTGGCCGCCAAGACGCAAGCCTCCTCGCCAAACGTGGCGCGGCGTGTGGAGTCTCTGACGATTGGGTTCCAGACCGGAAGGTCGTATGTGGGGACGCTGCCGTATGCACTTCGGGTGACGGTGATCAAGGCGAGCCGGCAGGTGTCCGAGTGGGTGTATCGAGGCAACATGACGTGGCAAGCCGCCCCGTCGGCATGGCCGACTTCCGCCGACACAGCCGCCGCTCCGGCGCTGGCGGGAGGCCAGACCGCGTACAACAAGTCGGTGCCGTTTGGAGCGACCAACACGATCCACATGTCCGACATTACGTTCGGGGTGCAGGACGAGGTCGTGTTGGACTTTTCCGTCTACAGCAATGTTGTCCCGCTCCAAGTGACTGCGTTCGCCAGTCAGCGCGTGGCAACGTACCCGACCATGTACCACACGGCGGTGCTGTCGTCGGCCGCGTGGCGACTGCCGTCGTACTTGCTGCCGGTCAACGCGAGTCGCAAGGTGGCGAACTTGACGCTGGTGATCCGCATGCCGGACGGGTTCTCGGGAGCGGCGCAGTTCGGGGTGCGGTTCACGGCGTTGTCTGCCAACCAAGTGCAGACGTCGTGGGTGACGCGAGCCAAGATGACATGGCAGAGCGGCACGGCGGCGGCACTGCCGGTGCTGCGCCCAGCCACGTCGTCGAGTCAGTTGTCCGTCGGCGCCGTCCAACCGACACCGCTTGTGCCATTCAACACGACCGGCACGATCGAGCTCTCCAACGTGGTGCTCGGGGTGTCGGACACGCTGACGCTGGACGTGGCCGTCCACAGCCCGGCTGTGGCCAAGACCGTGTCCGTGTACATTGTGCAATCCGTGACAAACTACCCCGTGACGTACTTCGCCAGCGCTGCGCTGACGAACGGACCGTACGTTGTGCCTGCCTTCGCGCTGCCAGGGTTCCAGAACGCTTCGCGCCGTCTGAGCACGGTGCTGATTTCGGTGGCGATGACCCACTCGTTCGAGGGGACAGTGTCGTACGGCATTCGGATGACCGCGGCACGGGGCACGTCGACGTCCAGGTGGGACTACCGCGGCAACTTGACGTGGCA